CCGCCCTAAAGGAGATAAGACCACTCCTCATGCAAGGAGAGGTTGTATTCTTTGTTCCCTTGGTTCTAACCAGTATTAGGTGTATCTTACGCACTTGAGAAAAGTTATAGTCACTGCCCATTTTGAGATCTTGGATGGGTATGTGCTTTCAGGGGACTCAATCCACATTTATCCAAACTTCCGTGGTATACTCGATGACTTTGAGACAACCAGACCTGATATTAAAGATTTGATAATGCCGTCTTCTCTAAAGGGCGCTCAAGATCCTCAACATATATATATCAAGTCAAATGATGGAAGCGATGGTGGAGATGATACCCTTCAACCAGTTGTCATGTTAGGGACCCCTCTTAGATCTCCTGACGCCTCTGACTATGATAATCATTCCAATTCTGGAGACAGCAACCCTAAGCCCAGTATTATTCTAATTAAACTGATTCTTATATTATCTGAACCACCTTATCAAGAAGTAGCCCTAACGGCTGCTCCGAGGTCGAGAATCCAACCAGGGCTCAACCCAGAGAATGTACTCTCCGGAAGGCGCACTGAAAGGACTCGCAATCACTACGTGGCCGAGTCTTCCACCCCTGGCATATCTCCATATGTTACGACCAAGGCATCTTATGCTAATTGGTCTTTTTCTGACCCTGGTCAGGCACTTCCTTATAATGACGAGCTTTCTAGCTACAAAGAAGCTATGGAATCTGCTGAGGCTCCCTAATGGCTGGATGGCACACACACAGAAATTCGTGCATTATTGCGGAATAACACCTTTATCCCTATATGGAGGACTGACTTACTTACTAGGCGTAAAACTTTCTCTAGCCATAATGTTTATAAGCGAAAGAAGGACTCTGACAATAACACCTCTCGGTACAAGGCTAGGGTGATTGTACGAGGCTTCATGCAACGTTATGGCCTCGACTATTTTGAAACCCAGGCCTCATGCGTTCGTACTACTACCTGGAGGCTCCTTCTAGCCATAACTGCTGTTCTGAATTGGGAGATTGATCAGATGGATGCTGTATCTGCCTTCCTGATGGGAGAACTGGATAAAGAGATCTTTATAGAGACACTTGATGATCTCTCTGACTTCTTTGAGATATATCCAGATGAGAATACTATCAACTGGAGACCTGGCATGATTATGAAGCTTGCAAAACCGCTATATGGGCTCAAGCAGAGCCCCAGGTAGTGGCAGAAGCGCATTCGTAGTGCTTTGAAGGACCTTGGATTCGACCCTCTGGTCTCTGACAACGCAGTCTATGTCAATATCAGCCGTGGCATTATAATGATCAGTTATGTCGACGATTTCCTCATTTTAGGGGCTAATCGTAACGGGATCGCTGCCTTCAAGAAGGAACTAGGTTCTATATTTGAAATAAAGGACATAGGAGCTGCTGAACATTTCTTAGGAGTCTATATTGTCAGAAACTGAGCTGAGAGGACATTATATCTCACTCAACAGACGTACGTGAGAAGGACTGTAGAGGCGTTCGACCAGTAGAACACTAGCAAGATGAACGTGCCGATATCTCTTCAAGCAGTAGAACAGATAGAGTCCCTGGACAACGACCTTGAGGCTGATACACGTGCTATTCAGACATACCAGCCCTTGATTGGTTCTGAAAACTTCCCTGTGTCGTATACGAGACCAGTTATTGCATACTCTATAAGTGTTCTCTTGTGATACCTTTACAACCCTGGCTCAGCCCAATATAAAGCCGCTCTGGTCCTACTTCGCTATTTGTGGCACTCTCAAGATCTTGGGATCAAATTTGGAGGTCTCAAATATGTCAAGAAGACCCCCCAGGAGGTCTTTGAGATGATTCCGGATCTGCTGGTTGGTTACTATGATGCCAGCTATGCTAGAAGCATCAAGACCACCGCCAAATCCACCTCAGGCTACCTGTTTACCTTTGTTGGGGGCGCTGTCTCCTGGGTATCCAAGCTGCAGACTATTGTGGCTCAATTTACTGTGGAATCAGAGTACTACGCACTCTCTAAAGCCGTCAAAGAGGCTGCCTGGTTGCGAGAACTGATGCTGGAACTTGGATTCATTCTGAATGCTATCAATATCCATTCAAACTGTGCTAGAGCTATTCACTTGGTTCAGAATGCTGAATTCCATCGTCGAACTAAACATATTCAAGTCAGGGAACACTATATTCATCAGGAGATCTTAGAAGGCCATATATGGCTCTCTTTCCTTGGAATTAATAAAATGTCTGTAAACAGTCTTACCAAAGCTTTAACAAAGGTAAGGTTCTTTAAGTTTTTAGAGTTGCTAGGACTGGTTTATGTAGAAGGGTGATATTCTGGTTATGTTAATTCCCTCAGTCTGAGAGGGCGTGTTGGATTCTGGGCTATGTTAGCCCATCCATAGTCATCCTTCAGGATCACTATCCCCATTTGTGACTCTTTTATATACGTGGCCAATATAAGGCCACGTATCCTTTCTTTTAGTATCTTGGATATATATAGGGCCACTCTGGCCGCTCCAGACTAGCTGGAATTCCTCTCCTTAAAAGAACACTTTGAAATCTCACACGAGCTCAAGCTCAGGGTAGCTGCCAACGTGCCCAGCGCAGTTCTTTTCTAGGTCCTAGGGACGACTCCCAAGCTTCTCTCTGGAGGAGGAGGCCATCCCCGCAGTTCGCATATTGGCTAACTCATCCTACTGTGGATCCAGTGCATGGACCCATATGGAGTATTCTGGAACCCCACCAGATATGTTGGAGGTTACCTGATGAAGGCTGCCTGGCAACCCTTTGTTGGCTAAGGTACCTCACCACTGTAATTTAGGTATTTAGATACGTCTCGGATGGAATCCTTTCTATCCGACCTTTTAATCAAGCACCACCCAGACCACTGATAGATTACAACAAGACTTGTGATTTGTCAGCATCTGGGAAAGCTACCAAAAGGCACACTACGAGTTCTCGATCTGGGTAGCAGGGTACTCGCCATCCTCAAAACCGTCGCCGTCATGCAGCCGCAATAGGTTTGCTCTCTGGCAAGCACAACGAGGCAGCCTGGACTCCCGTGTTTAGTCCGTATCGTATTTTCTCGACTGATCCTCGTGGAGCCCCTGACTGGCCGAACCCCCTCCACATTGTTGTACTGAATGCCCGCCAGAGAGCGAGAGCCCAGTGTACACGTTGCCAACGTCACCGACCAGTTCAAGCCGCCGCCGCTTTGCTTCACACCCTCCAGCTTCCGCCAACGAAGGGTGCTTCCAGCTGGGACTGTCTGCCTCGTTCAATCTGTAGTTCACTATGTGAGCGCCAGATAGCTGGTCTTGGGTTAGGGTTAGGGTTAGGTTGCGGATAAGCCAAGGTGAACATATTGCTAAAGGACATACCAACGGTTACGTTGCCTCGCTGAGCTGCGTAATGGAGCATTGTGGATCCAGCTTCACCACGGACTGTTATGGCTACTATAGGAATTGAATTTTGTTCTGGGATTGCAATGGCCTCTGATCGTCTTCGAAGGCGTAACGGAACACATGGCGGCAAGGAATATCGTCTCATGACTTGGCCCTGGCCAGGGATCCTAGAACTGGCCAGAAGCGGAGCCTTGGAATTGGGTCGATCATCATGGCGGGCAGCGGCAGATCGGCTGCGGTGGAAGCTGGTGAGCACGCCGGGTTAGGTGGGAGCATGGTCCTCAGAGGGTCATAAAGAAGCTAATGACCAAAGATAATTAAAGGGAAATATTCTTCTAGGTTGCAGAGAGGCTTACACCTGAAAAGGCTTTACGCTGAGATTCGGCTTCGTGATATTTATATGTAGATATGTGGGTGTATTAGCCGATATCATAGGAATATAGTGATCATTTTCTTCTTATCGATAGACCAAAAAACAGAAGTCATCTGACTATAAATATAATACATATAAAGCTTCGAACCAAAATGATTCCCGAGAGATCTCGCCCTTCTGCTCACTCGCACTTAAGGCAGTCAGCTGGCCCATGGCCCATAGTCTGTCATATAAGAGACAAGTCCGGGCTTGATCAGATTAGAGGAGGATAACCGACTTAAATACCACAAGAACCAGTCAGAGTCTGCGAAATTGATTCCCATGACCAGGAATATGAGTGTAGTAGTATGTATCAGGGCGAAGGAAACCAAACATACATCAAGCAAATGCAACACAATGCTCAGTCATACCTCGCAGCAATTCCCAGTCCCATGGATGCTCGAGAGCTCAGCTACCCCCTCTTTCCACCTCTCTTCTTATATCCCCTCGACCACTCCTCACCAAAAATCAGGTACGGTACTGGGAGGATCTTCTGGAGTTCTATAGCCACTTCTTTGACCAATCGAGCCGGCCCGGACAAAACACATCTATGCTCCGAGCACGACGATTGGTCGGTCTATTACAATGGTGTAGAACCCATCTGTTGACGCCAACGCCAGTGGTAATCTAGCCTGTGCTGTACATTTTGGTGCCGACAAGCAGTCAAGGGATAGCATCAGTAAACACAGCGTGGCCCAGCGTATGAAGCTTCACGCCACCAATTCATTTACACGTAGACGCCTCTCAATCATAACAAAAGCCCTTCCAAAGCACAAGCCCGTATCAACTAGCCCATGGCCTCCAATGCAGTAGAGGTTGGCGCCCCTGACTGAGGCGGCGTCTCTCAAGGAGAAACTCTAAATGAAAGTCTCAATAGCAGATGACCAGTCAGATCAAAACAGAGCCTGTGGGAGTCACATGATTATAACTGTGAATGAGGTCGAGCTGGAAGTAGAGTTATGAGCAATCTGAATTTATGCAAATATGTATGCAACGAAGGGGGAAGTATGTACGCCAAAAGACAAGACAAAAGTATGTACAACGAACGACCAAAGGCCATCCATCCCAAGCGGGAAGGGCCTCGCACGAATCTTCAAGTCTCTCATACCCACGAAGTCCAAATAGGCAATATTCAAAATGATGGAGTCCCTGGCTCCTTTGACTAAGGTACAGTCACAACTCTTCCGGCTCCCGGGATTCCTAGCCCGTGCGGAAGAGCATGATGTTGGAGGCGAACGTGTTGACGTTGTCGGACCACTTGGCCAGGCTCGTGCCGTCGCGGTCGATCATACTCAGCGAGCCGATGGTGTTGAGGCCGTATATGTTGATGTTGGACGAGCTCTCGATCGACACGATGCGCGACTGGCAGGTCTCGCCGGCTTCGACGGTCGAGCAGTCTGTAATGGGGGATACGAGTCAGTCACTTGTCTCTGTTTTAGGAGGGACGCAGCAATGGTACTGTCGGAAGGAAAGAGAGGGGCTGATAGAGGCTTGCTTACCTGTGCTGTAGTTGTTGAAGAAGGAGTAGTGTCCCGCGCCGTAGATGAAGAAGTCGGTCGACTTGATGATGCGCAGACCCCACGCGTCGGCACAGTTGCCGGCCACTCCGCTACAGGATGTGGTGAAGTCAGGGTCATTCAGGGATGCGACAGCGGGGAATGGCGTAAGAGCATTCGGTGTCGGCTGGTAGTAACTTCAGAATTGTCAGTAGGATTCAACCGGTTGGATTGGAAGTGCGACTTACGGGGTCTCGGTCTGGAACATGCTGGCGAAGACGTTTTTGGTGTTGGCGAACTGGTAGTTGTAGAGAGCGTTGTGCTCAACAGCTGTGCCAATAAGCCAGAAGGTTCCGACCGTTGATTCGATATCTATCCTTTGTCAGTAACCTAAAGAGGCATGTCGCAGTTGAGGTTGTTCTTACACAGGCCTCTTCCAGAGTACACAGTAATCTGGGTGTTGCTGGCGTCCTCAATGTCGTGGTCGGCAGTCCTACCATCATATTAATTACCCGGGATAATCCATGAGCTCCATCTACTCACCAAAACCAGGTGTTTTCCATGTAGAGACCGGAAGCTTGGGGGGTGACATGCATCAGCATGTACGCGCCAATGCAAGCTGAGTTGATAGCGCTGGATCCCGGCTGCTTCACGCATTGAGCGACTTGGAGATTAGAGCCGCTGAAGCCACCAACTCTAGCGTGGACGTCCCACATGCCGCTTGGTGTGCCAGATGAGGAGGCAAGGTTCCATTCTATGAGAGTAGCCCCGGGTGCCGCTCCTTGGGTACCAACCACGAAGTCGGACAGTTCAACTTGGCCAGCCGTGCCAGAAGTGGCTCCAACCTGCAGGAGAGGCTTCGGGTTGCTCATGTCACCGAAGAAGCTGCCCTGGGCCATGATCACGGGGTATCCCTCACCCACAATCTTGGTGCCTGCGGGGATACTGAGGGTCGAGGTGACCTTGTAGAGACCATAGTCGAGGAAGAGCACCTTTCCGTTGGCTGCGCTGTTGATGGCGGATTGCAGGGCAGCGGTCTGATACTGGTCAGCTGAATGTTAACCTAGAGTAAAGGAGTCCGGCTTACATCATCTGTCGAGGCATCACCCTTGGCACCAGAAGCTCGCGCGCTCACGAAGTCGGACGCGGAAAGAGTTTCGTATTGGGGCTTTGATCGAGAGTAGTAGCCGTCGGCGCCAGTAAGGACAGCGGGACGAGTGTTAGGGGTGATGGGTCCCGATAATTCACCAGGCCCGTTGGGCACATATTCGTGGCCTTGACCCCATCCTGCGATAGTGGTGGACCCGCCCGCGAGTAGTGTTCCGCTTGGCCCCTGAACGGCGACGGGGACATTAGTGAGGCTGAGGTTCTCTAGGATGAGACTCCCAGCGGTATCGGGCGTAGTGCTTGCGGTGTACGCAGTCTTGATACCAATGGGCGTGTTAGAGATAGTGCTGTCGATTAGGATAGCCGAGCCAACGTTCAGGGCGTCGCCGTCTTTAGCGGTGATGTCAATTCCCACTCCACAGTTGTTGATCTTCAAGCCCATGTAGGTCCAACCCCAGTCCCAGAGCTGGATAATAGCTTTTTGGAATCATGTCAGTACATACACTGTATGTCATACCTCAGATAAACAGGGTTACTCACCAGTCTGGCAGTTGTTGAACACCAAGTTTCGCATGCTGTACTGTTGGTTTCCAATGGAAGCTCCTGTAGCACCACCATTGAAGGTCAAGTCGCTCATGAAGCCACCAGAGCCTAGCATCGACGTTAGCAATATTCCGTCCCCGAGTCTGCAGCACAATAAACGTACCACTCTCAACGAACAAACCGACATGGACGGTGCTAGGGTCCGTGGGCATGTTGAATTCAATGTTGATCAAACTGGTCGCCTGCGATGTGGGCCAATGCATGCCAGTCGCGGCAGTACCCGGTGCGATAGCAGTGGTGTCAATGACAAAGTTGCGCATCTGGCGGTAGAACACATTGGTCGAGACCCAGTTCAAGTCACCCGTGAAGTATGGGTTGCCATCAATCAACCCAAAGCCTTGGAAGCCGCTGGTGGCTTTCAGGACTGGGCGGTTCGTCGGGTCACCGATCAGCTGGGTGAAGTATGGGGGTTGGAGTGCCGTTGAGATGATGTATGTTCCAGCTGGAAAGTATACCACTGCCGGAGTGGTAGTAGTCGATGCCTGCTGCAGTTAGTACTGACGCGAATAGACAACCAATACTGGGTGTCTGTAGTATCACTTACACATCCTTGAAGGCAGCGGTCGTTGCCGGCGAGGAGAGCGGCCGTGATGGCGGCAGTGTCGTCGGTAGATCCATCACCTAGAACGGGTATCAGTTTCCACGAGCGCCTTGATCCCTAGGATATCAAGGGAACTCACCTTTGGCACCGTAGTCCTTTACATTGCGGAAGACTGTGTAGCCAGCACCTGCAAAGGGTGCAACGCCCTGGTCTGGGTCACGAAGGTTAGTTCAAAACGAGCGCATAACGGAGGACACTAGCTTACGTTGTACATCTTCGAGCCAGTAGGCATTGATGCCGACGGCGAGACTGATTGCAGCCGAAAGGAATGTCTGGAAACGCATCTTGAATTATACAAAGGATTGGAGTGGCTGCCTGTCAAGAGAGTAAAATATGAACCTGTTCTGGGATAGATGGAGGACTTATAAGTCAAAGAGTGACAGGGACAATATCCGGCAGAAGCATGAACTAGCAGCTGAGGGGGTCAGGCTGCGGAGCCAAGGGCTGCCACAAGCGCTCGCTAGACGCAACGTGGAAGAAATGTGAGCAGAAATATGCCTGTCAAGGAACAATATGGTCACGCCCAACCAAGACCTCGGCCTTACGGTGATATCGAGATGGCTCATTGGATTAGTACGGCCGAGGCGTGCGGCTACCGCTCATGGGGCCGCCGACGAGCAGTCTGGCGTGCCTGGTTTAGTCGAGGACCTGCCCTTTCAGACAGAGTATAGGGGCATACGTGCGAGTACAGGGGCCCCATCAGCAAATCAGGAATAGAAGCCGACCCCAGACGAGGGCACGAGTTCCAAAAGAAACCATCCATCTGGGTGACATCGCGCAGAGTTTTGGTACAGCAAGGCGAAGGTCTGGCTCTCAGTCCAGACATGAAACCATCCCCGGTGTGGGGACGGCGGCCACCAAGGTCATCCTTCATCGTGGCACGCGGCGCAAGGGAGGTCAGGCTTTGCGACGAACGGCAGCCTCCTACCCGATATGGCAACGTTAATTCAGGTACCATGCAGGATCTGATAGGTCGACTGCCGGCTGGACAGGAGATTGGTTGTCGGGCCGTTCCAATTAGTCAGGTTGTTCCAGCTAGAGGGGGCGTCGTCCAAGCATGCTGACATGTGACGCGAGACATGATGCCCAGATGTAAGTCATGTCGTGAGGTCACCATGCCTACAGACACGCAAACCGCGACAGACTACGCGTGAGATCTCTGGTGCCGTCAGCATCAGATCATGGCATGGCCGGCACTAAGTTAAAGTGCAACACGAGAGGAAGGGATTTGCTACCCGCGAAGTGTCTATACAGACGTCCATAGACGTCCACATGTGATTCCATTGCGCACTGCTGAAAGAAGAATAGGGGAACATCAAGACTAGAGGCACTAACCTAGAGGGCTTCAACCAATGTTTGGGACGCAGGAATGCTGGATTTCGAGATGGAGCTCTTTGTTGTTGTCGTTGCATCGCATAGGGTTCCATGCTAATAACGCCAGGTAAACGTGACGGGTCAAGTGCGGGCTGGGCGCTAAGATCTGGCTGCGATGAGCATCGTCCATCGTCCATCGTCCATCGTCTTCGGGGCATTTTGCTGTCAACCTTGAAGTCAGGGGGCCGGCCCGATTGAGTTTGCCTGACTTGGTTGGGGTAGCCCAGTTCCCCAGTTCCCCAGTTCTTCAGGTTGTTTCCACCAATACCGGCACCGGTAGTGCATCCAGGGAGTCCAGGCTGCGATGCAGCGATGCAGCGATGCTGGGCCCTGGCAGATAGATGCGCACGCCATGCATGCAAATCCGGGGGAAGTCTGGATTGAGATGAGATTTCCAAGGGGGGGCAGGAGGGCGAAGGATCGTGACCCCCCCGGGCTTTCGTCGGCCGCTGTTTCAATGTTTTGGCCCGCAGCCCCCGTCCCAACTTCCCAAGCACCTCGGCATCTCTGCCGTGGCAAAAGCAGGGGTTGAAGACAGCAATCGCCGTGGCCACACACCGTCATTTGTGCACTGTGCCGTCTTCTCGATCTGGCTGGTCAGATTGTGAGTCTCAGGACAGTTCTCGAGTACCCTTTGCAATTCAAAGTTATGATTAAGGTAGGCGCCAGACGGCCCGGCGTCAATTACATGGGCTGTCCCTGACCAGTAACATGGAGTCCGCCATGATCGATCCCATCGATCCCGTTGCCGCTACCACTAAGCGTCTTCCGCTAACGCCGCTGGTGCCGCTTGTCAATAACGGATTTACTGGCTGGCAGTCGACGCGACGTCCAAACTTCAAACCTGTTGGCTTTATGAGGTGTGATATGACCATGGATCAAGACTTGATCGAGAGACGGGTAGATTTGGAATCTGGCCAGCAAGAGGCTCCTAGCCTGCGACACTACTTAAATCACGGGGGATGGCGGTCAATGCGTGTTCATGCTCATGCTCATCCCGGTTCCTCATCCTCAGCCAAAGGATGCCGAAGCAGTCCAAGCTCCTCCAAGCTCCTCCTCCTCAGTATTATAAGGATTATACGGCGCCAACAAACGTTGACTGCATTCACCGTCTCCTCGACGTAGAGCAGACCTAGCGCGGTGCGGATGCGTGGCTTGCTATGTGCCTGTTCCAAACAGCCATGTGCACATGGAAGTCATGACAACCACAGTCGCGCTACCACGCGCCCATTACGTTGGGTGTGCTATCCATTACCCCGCCGTATCCTTTCTTTATCATTCAGCGCCGACGTGCGTGGAGATCGGAAAATCAATCACAACAAAATACTGCCCCTTCACGGCCCTCTTCGGGGCCAAGCTTGATTAAGCTTCATCTTTCCTTCACGTCAGACGTCTTGGCGACGAAGCTTGAATTCACCCGTTCGATCCGCTATTTGCTGGCGCCTTCTCCCGTTGCGTCAATGCCTCCGCCTTGGTGAGTGCTTACTACGTTAGGTGGAATACAAAACCGATGCACAACACTGCACCCTCTATCAGACTGCAGAGCGCGTCGTCGCTCCCTCTCCGAAGGTATTTACCAGTTCTAGAAAACTGCCAGCCACGGGTTTCCCCAGGTCCAAGTCCTGCTGCATCTGCACGACTACAGTGAATCTGGGGAATGGGTATGGTGAGCTGACGATCCTCTCGTTGCGTTGTCTGGAAACCCGGGGGGGAACAGTGAATGCCAAGCAGCTCGCTTCTTATATTGGGTATCGGCATGAAGTCGATATATAAACTGCACGGAGCCTGGAAGTCCATGGTGGCACACGCATACAGAATTGGAGTTGCAACGCCGTCTTGTCACCAATGTTACTTTCGCTCGCCGTTGCGATTGGGCGGGCAACAATTGATGAGGGCTGGAGCTCAGACGGCCCACCGTTACGCGACAGCCCTGGATGTTGCGCTGTCTGTTTCCCGCTCAATACTCCGTACTCCGCATCCCACACGGGCAGCACACGCCATGCCCTGATGCCTGTCGTCTGCCCCAGTTCCCCAACCCCAACTCTAGCTCTACCTCCACACATAATTTCGGGAAATATATCGATGCCTCTGGAGAGTCGCTGGTCATCGCTCGTCAGATGCGCAATGCCAACTCAAAATTTGGTATCCCAAGATGGCACCGGCAGACGAGAGGGCATTCGAAGACCACTCACCATTTATGTCCTACAGGTGGCACGCTTCGCGTCCATCCGAGGCAACGCATAGTTGGACATCTCCCAACCCTTGACGGATTCCTCGTTGCAAGCTCAGGTATCTGCATCTCTTTCAGGAGCTGTGGATTGCGCCAGGCCAACAAGGACACCGAGGCAGATCCACGCACCCACGGCTACGGAACTTTTTCTGTCTGCTTCCACTGCTTCCTCTCGAGTGTCTTCCCTGTCGGACTGATCCACATGTGACAGTTGGACTGCCACTCAGCGGGCCTGGGCCGTCCCGGTAACGTTATCCGTCAAATTGTCAACGGTCACCCCTGATCCCCCTCTTTCTCCAGCCCGCAATTCTGCTGGTCTGGCTGGGTCCAAGGTTGACAATCATTGCCTCTTTCGATGCCCATCGTGAGAAGAGTCAAGACGGTAGCGGAACGCCATGGTCCATTGGTCGCATTGAACTCGACGTGGAAGGTACAATGCGCCCATGACCAGAGCAACCAGATGACACTCTGCAGATGCCTCATCTACAAGGAATTATGGAGTTCACCACGGTAGGTCAGGTGCTGGAAAGGGTACGCCCGCCATGAAGAGAGGCTGGCCCAGATGGGCTCTTGGCACTCGACGCTCGGCTCTCACCACGCTCGGAGAGTCTGCTGCGGCAGACTAGATGGTGCAAACAGACGGTGCGCCTGGATCTCTACATAGCGCACGTGAGTTAAGTAACCAGCTGACGCCCATATGACTGTGAAACTCGGCCTATCAAACTGCCCGTCGGCTCACTGCATGCGCTTCTGACCGCCAACCTTCATTACCTTATTCCCGCCTCAAGCGTCGCCTCCCATGTCAGAAGTGTACGTCAACCGGGGAGCTTCGCAACGGTGGGAAAGACGATGGCTTCGGCGTAGTCGACTACCCCATCTTGGCCCGTCTGAACGGAATATACAGAGTCGCATAGGGAACTGTCTTAGTAAGTCAGTATAGCAGGTGATCTGGCAATTCCGGGCGGAATGATTGGTGGTCTCCACGTCCCCCACACTTTGTTTCTCCAATGCGGAGATGTAATGCAGATGGGGGTGGTTTATGGGGTTCTGACGGCTCTCCTAACCCGTTGCAGGCTCGGTGCGGGATGTTTTCAGTTTTCCACCGGGATGTTTTGCGGGCTACTGGTTCACAATCTGGGGGCGGGCATGTACCCCGAGTTACAGTTGCAGCAGTGCCGCACATGCAGCAAACCACAACCAATTTGACGCTTCTCCTCAATCGTTTCGATATTCCCGAGGTCCTTTTTCAAGCTACTGCTGCACTCAGGACCCGGACTGTTCAAGCATTCACAATTTGACTGTCTGCCCGTAGCCTGTTGGCAGAAGCAAGCCTGCTGTTTGATGTGGTCTCTTGCAAATAACCATTACCTGCAACCAACATACCTGCCCCCAGTGCCCCGGTGCCGCTCAATAACCGACCCGGCTGCGATATGCACATAAAACAATTACTGACTGGTCCGGCGCCACTTTTATGCTCGACATAAGCAGAAGCTCCATGGGACCAGGCTACAAGTTCCAAGCCCCGATCAGCCGCTCCAGTGGCAGCTGTTGACTTGCCACAATACCGCAACTGCCAAAGCCCTTCCCCATCTCCGCATTCTCTCCTCATTCCCACTCCTCACCACCTGCACCCGTCAGCCCGTCAGCCCGTGCAATTCCACTCAACCCCGAATTGACCTCCGCGGTCGAGTGGCTCCCCTATCCCGCTCGGTACATACAGTTCACTGCTCATATCCGCCTGCAGCATTGCACAACTTTATTCTGAGCGTTGCCTCTGTCCCAACTCGCCGGGTCTTGTGAGGTTGTTTATTCCTCTCGGTGCCCCGTCAGCGACGCATTGGCGTCTTTGGCCAGGTCACGAGGATCACGGCGTCCCCCGAGATACTGATCTCCACCCACGCCCTCCTCGCTTCACTGCTCTTCTCTACGTCGGCGCCCCCTAATAAGCCCGCTACTCAACGGCCTGCGTCTGCCAGATAGTCACCACCCACTGGTCCATATCTAGCTGGAGACTAGTCAAGTCAGGACACAGCCTCGTCTCTATCCAAGCTCGCCTGTTTGTCTTTCAGCCCCGTCTTGCTAGCCTCGCGGGCTCGCGGGCTCGCTCAGCACTCGTCGAGTCAACCTTAATCAAGACGCTGGCCGCCGTCCACGGTCCGTCCCATCGAGGTGCCGATCACTTGGGGACAAGACGGGACAAGACGGGAAGACAGATGCGGTGGGAAGCTGCTACGTCAGTTGCCGAGCCAGTCTAATCGACTCATACTACTATCACATGAATTCATCCATCAATCGTCCACCCCGCAAGGCATTCCTCGTTCCGGCATAACCTCCTGGTCCTGTGTTGTCCAGCCTACCGTTCCCCCACTTCTCGTGCTGCGTGACTCCCTCCTGCATTACACCCATAGTCTATACTGGCACTTACCCCATCACCTAATCTTTGAGCACTCAACCTTTCCCCAAATGCAGTCCATACAGTCCATACAGTCCATACAGTCCATGCAGTCCATGCAGTCCATGCAGTCCATGCAGTCTATAGAGGGCTCGGACATCCCTGGTCTTGCCGACGAGAACGTGGATGGCAAGCAGCAGAAACCCAAGACCCTGCCATGCAAGTTTTGCGACAAGCGCTTTAGGTAAGACTGCCAGAGCCTTTCGCCATATCTCACTTCTGTTGGCAATATAGCTTATATGGCCATCCCTTGATTAGGCGTGTGGAGCATGTGCAAAGACATGAGAGAACCCATACTAAAGAGAAACCCTTTTCCTGCACTTGGGCTCATTGCGGGAAGACGTTTGGGCGTCGGTCAGTCTTCTTCTCCTATACTTTGTCATCCGCCCCGAACCGGTACTTGGTGTTCCTTTGCCCACGCGTACAACCACTCGCCATCTCCCCCACGCGGAGTCAACCCCATTCCCCTCAGCTCGGTCCCACATACGGCTTCAGCGACCTCCCCATCTCTCTATCCCTGACTCGCCTCCGACTTCCCACTCACCTCAAAGTGATAATGCTTATATGGACATCAGGGATCTTCTTGTCCGCCACGAAAAGCTCGTCCACCTCAATGAAGGATCGAATAAGGATGGGAACCGGCCGCGGAAGCCATCCTCGGCCGGTGCTGCCCTACCACCATTGTCAGCCGAGAGACACGACGACTCCGAAATGATGGGCATGCCGCGTGCCCATCCACAGCATTACCATGCTGACTCCATGTCTTCAACTATGTCGGTGCCCGCACTCGCCCCTGATCCGCGTCTACCCCCCAGAGCGGCAGCTTGCAACCTTGATCTCTTGTCAGATGCTGCGACCCAGATAGCGTCGGCGAACGAAGTCAACTCCATGCAGCCTACGATGCCGGATATGGGCCAGTCGAACAGCGCTATGTCACGTATCAAGCCATATGACGAGGGCATACCATACGGTGATCGTGGACGCGAGGCCGACGCCGCCACCTTGTCGATGGGGCTCCCTAGTCAGGCGGGACCCTCTGCCTTTGACGATTACAATCTCTTCATGGACGAGATGGCAACCTCGTCCCATTTTCTCCCACAAGCTTTCGAGGCAGACCAAAGCATGGGTCTCTGGCCACGGTATCCGTCAGATATGCAGCGAGGGGGGATCTCGAAACCACCATCGCAGTTCCCCTCTCGATTTCCATCTTTAGCTCCAGACCCACGAGACCCATCGGACAATGGCGGCAGGATCCACGATGATTCAATCAGGGCTACCCCAATGAGAGTTTCAGCCATGGATCATACAGTCATTAAAAACAAGTTGGATGAATTCACGTCGGTGCTGCCAAATGATTTCGTGTTTCCTTCGCGGCACACCCTGACTCGCTTCCTCGAGGGGTATTCCAGCGGGTTTCACGAACACTTGCCAATATTGCATTTACCAACCCTAACACCCGCCGATATAGCACCCGAGCTGCTTCTAGCCATCCTGGCGGTAGGTGCCCAATACAGATTCGAGAGTCATCGTTCGAACGCACTATGGTATGCGGCTAGAGCTGTCGCCCACGAGCAGATCCGACGCCGTCATAGCCACGAAGTCCATGGTTTGTTGCCCACACCCGCAGCGTATAGTCCACACTCTACGCGACCGTCCCCAAGCCATGGCTTCAGACATTCATTTAGTTCGGTGCAACAGGATCGTCCCATGACACAGGATACACATCGGGAACCATAGTAAGTCTCTGTTACTGTAAATGGTCTGGTGGAATCGATTTTCTGACGTCTGCTACCTGAAGCTCCCCAAACACTCCTCAGTCTCGCATGGAGACAATACAGGCCCTCTTGCTGCTTTTCGCCGTCGGTCTCTGGGGCGCAAAGGCGATACTGCACGAGGCAATGTCACTGCAAAGCCTTTTGGCTCTTCTGGTACGCGAGGAAGGGTTTCTGTCTGAGTCCACCCAGACGGCAGACTGGGAAGCGTGGATCCGGATAGAAGGGGGCAACCGAACCAAGCTCATTACGTACTGCTTCTTCAACCTTTGCAGTATCGCCTACAACATGCCGCCTTTGCTCCTCACCTCGGAACTGAACCTGTTTCTGCCCCATTCTTCAAAGCTCTGGAGAGCGGAATCGGCGTGGCAATGGCAAGAAGCTCGGAACTCGTTCCCGAGCATGGATTTCTCACTGCAGGATGCATTCTCGAGGCTATTCAGCCGACCCCCACAGGGTCCACCGGCTTACATGTCCTCGCTGGGGAACTACATTCTCATCCATGCACTGCTACAGCACATCTTTCTCTTGAAGCAAACTTCGTTTACATCTGTACCATCTTTCGAAGCCCCTCGAGGGTTACGGCCAGATGATGTCGAGGAGTGTTTCCAGGCTCTTCGGGTGTGGCAAATGAGTTTTGAACAGCATCAAGCACGGGTTGCGGAGGGGATCCCACCGGCAGGGTCTGAGAACTTTCTTGAGGGGCCTGTTGCTTACAACTCGACGGCGCTCTGGAGACTGGCCTCGATCCGACTCTACACCGATTTGAGTCAAAGTAGGACGCTCGAATCAAGAGATGCTAGCCAGATTGCACGGGCTTTCAGCGATGCGCCATACCTGATCCGGGGCGTGCGGTCGAATCGAGCTGTCCTCCAAGCAATACATGCCCTATCACAGCTAGTCAAGCTGGGTGTCAACTACGTCGCCAGGAGAAAATCGTCGGAATGGAGTATGCAGCATTCTCGTAAGGACCTGCCATTCTCAGTTCTCGCTTCGATTTCGCTAACTTTGTCGTAGTATGCAATCTCGAGTGCGCTATTCTCATCTCCAAATGGGTCATGACGCTCGCCTCTATTGGACCAACAGAAGCCCCTCCAACTCCAGATGAGCGAAGCCTTCACGACATGCTGCGCCACATGTTGGACGAAACAGAATTCGCGGTCCCTATCGATCCATCACTGTCTGGGGGCGGGCCAGGTCATGCGGGGTCCAACATGGACATGGGGGTGAACGACAGCCACAAGCTCCGGCAACTCGCTGCGGCGGTGATCCGACTTTGGGCCGAGACGTTCAAGGGGTCGCATATTTTTGACATAGTCAAAGTGATCGGCAATGCGCTGGAGGGATATGTTGACTTGCTAGAGAAGCCGCGAGACAGAACACCACTGGGGCGGATGGGCCCGAATTCCGGGCTTGGCTGAGTTTACGCCCATGGCCTTCCCCACGGGCAGGCGGGAGAAAGTGGACACAGGGGTACCTCAACGGATGGATCACGAGCTTCCGGGTATTCACCATACTAGGCTCGAACGCCATAGCGGTAATGGTATGGACTTGAGTCACGTTTTCGCTCTCGGCAGCCATGAATGGGCAGTACGTACTCTGGCATATTCCGGTATCGGACCTGGGATCGAATCAGATAGGGGTACTCTGTGGTAGCTGCTGGGACTTGCCAAGAAGGCCGACGCGTAATTGATAGAATCGAAATACTGGACAGGCACGTGAATGGATGACAAGAAGGGTGCGATGTCATCGAGCCAGTGACAGTGGGGTCCGGCAGACGTCTGACTCGACCCAGCTGGGTGGTATTTCCCCAGATTCCTCTGCCTGCTACCCATCGTCGAATGTCACACGCGGCAGGGCTTGCTGCTTGTGGCAGCCACGTGATCTTCTGACGGTCCCAATCACTATCGTCATCAGGGCGGCATCTGTGGAGCAATGGGCACCTAGTCTTGGGTGGCAAGTGTAGAGCGCATAGGTAGGTCGGCGGCTTCTTTGTTGCGACTCCAGTCGAGACCGAGACCACTGCCTGGGCGCGCTTGAAGATCAATAGTGATCGGAAGGGCCCTTTGTTCATCCCTTCTCATTGACAAGATCAAAAGACTTCCTAGTGGTGGTCGGTTTTGGACGTCATAGATAGGATGTGTGGTCGCGAATGAAGTCTTTGTTCCTGGGTCGAAGTCGGCGGGACAGGCGCGCTTTGAGTTCGTGATGATTTGCAAAGCAATGCAACATCTCTCCCATCAGGCTAAATTCTGGTCCTCGCGAGTCTAATCGAGCAGCCTTGCATTCCAGCCTCCAGCGCGACCTATTGCTACTTGCAGGTGGTCTTCCGCAAGTCCATGCTTCATCAGCTGCAGCTGTCAGAGCGACAGGTTGAAGAAACCCTACCTAGGTCCTCAGGCGTGGGAGGAGATTACATCCGAGCACGTGACCGCGCGAAGCGATCGGATCCACCCGCGATCCCTCCGGCGCGTAGCGTTCCAGCTTCCCGTCAGCGTCTCACTCCACCATCAATCGCTTCCTAGTCTCTAAAAGCCGTTCACCTCAACGAAAGTCCGTCTGCATACCGCACGAAAAATGCCGCCCAAGAAGCGCGCCGCACAGGCAATGGACCTGACGCCGCAGAGGGGTTCGCGTCGGCGGTCGCACCGCATCAGCTCCAACGGCAAGTCGAGCTCGTACTTCGTGGATGATGACGTCACCGACGACTCGGCCGCCGAGGACGCGGGTCTGTCGTCGCGCAAACAGGGTTCGCGGAAGAGAGCTAAATATGAGAGCGAGGAGGATGAGTTGGCTTATGAGGAGGGGTCTGAGGACGATAATGATGATGATGACCACGACGGGGAGGATGGGGATGATCGGGAGGATGTGCATGAGGAAGACGAAGACGACTCGGAAGAGGCTGCACCGCCGCCCAAGAAGCGCGGGCGCGGCCGGCCGACTAAGACCGCTCAATCTCAATCGGCGTCCAAGACGGCGGGGACTACGACCGGCAGTGCTGGGAAGAAGACGAAGGGCAGACCTGCTGTTGCTGCTGCTGCTGCTGCTGCCACCGTCCCCAAGGTGCAGTCGAAGAAGACGAAGAAGGATGATGCAGACGAAGACGAACATGAGGACGACGACGACGATGACGATGATGATGATGATGATGAAGATGGGCCGAGGATTGAGTTCATTCCAATCCCGGAGCTGCGCGACACTGGGGGCGTCGGGTATGAGGACACGCGACTGCATAAGAATACGCTGCTGTTCTTGGGCGAGTTGAAGGCTAATAATAAGAGGAGCTGGTTGAAGTGTGAGTCTGGTTTGCTTGGTCTTTTGCTTGTCTTGGGTCTCATGCACTTCTTCTCACGCGATCGCATCCAAGCCTGTCCGCTACTCTCGCACCCATGGCCATCCTAGCACTTACCCATCCGTCTCGGTCAACACCCTCAATGCCTCCCCTGCTTCTGTCAGAGACAGTACGTAGGAGCTGTTGCAGATTATACTGACTTGTGGTCACCAGTACGCGACCCGGAGTACAGGCGCTCGCTGAAGGACTGGGAGAGCTTTGTCGAGACGCTCACTGAAAAGATCATCGAGGCCGATGAGACGATACCCGAACTGCCGCTCAAAGATGTCATCTTCAGGATCTATCGGGACATTCGGTTTAGTAAGGACCCTACGCCATATAAGGTGAGTCATTCCATACCAGTGTTATTTACTTCTGCTTGCGTGTTGATGTGACTGACATGTGTTTCGCTCCCTAGCCTCACTACTCTGCTGCATGGTAAGCTCAGCTGTCTTTCCTTCCATGTTGAGGCCGAACCGTCATCATCTGGCATAAAAGTATCGCGGCGGCTTCAAACCGACTGCCGCATCACGTACTGCTCAAAATCTGACCCATACCCAGGTCGCGCACCGGCCGCAAGGGTCCCTACGCCTGCTACTACGTGCACGTCGAGCCAGGCCACTGCATTGTCGGCGGCGGACTCTGGCACCCCGACGCCGCCGCATGCGCCAAGCTGCGCGCCAACATCGACGAGCGGCCGCAGCGGATACGGCGTGTGCTGATGAACCCCGAGTTCCGCCGCGCCTTCCTCCCCAAGGCGAAGGACGACGAAAAATCTGTGCTGAAGGCTTTCGTGGATTCGAACAAGGAGAATGCGCTGAAGACTAAACCTAAGGTATGTGGGTCGCTTTTTGGGATGGTGTGGTAGTTGGATGGGGGAGTTGGGCTGACTCTGATGGAAGGGCTTCAACCCGGATCATCGTGATATCCAGCTGCTCAAGCTGCGCAACTATACTGTTGGGCGTACGCTGACGGACGCGGACCTCCTCGGTGAGGATGCGCAGGAGAAAATTATGGCTTGTATTGGGGCGATGGTGGAGTTTGTGAGTAACCCTGCCTTCCCGACGAGATGATCATGTTGAAGCGAGCGTCGAATTTGCTGATTACGGGCAGGTTACCTTCTTAAACACTGTCATTATGCCCGATCCTGGCCAGGACAGCGATTCTGATGATGAAAGTGAAGAGGATGGGTTGGCGAGTGACGAGGAAGGTGGAGATGCTGAGGACTAGTCATGGTGCATGACGAGGCACTCCCCGAGTGCTTGTACCCGTGCTTGTTGTACAGAGGTACTCTGGTCAAACACAAGCAAGGCAGGAACGAGGAGGTGACTCTTTCGTGTGGCACTCAACAGAAACTCATCTTCCTGCGAGTCGCCAAAGGTCTTTCTAACCACCCACCTAACATACAATGTAACTCTACTCTGGTTCAACCACTCAACCTCACGCTTCACTCACCACAACAGTGGGCTCAGCACCACGATTAAAAGTCCTTCCTAACTTCCAACCACCTACCATACAATGTAACTCTCTACTCTTGTTCAACCACTCAACCCCATGGTTCACTCAACACAACAGTTGACTCAGCACCAGGATTAAAGGTGCTTCCTAACTTCCCAACATACAAAGTACCTAGGTATATCCACATTTCGAACTCTGCTGGAAACCTACCATGAAAACAATGAGCAAGCACACCACAGCAGCTACATGATCTCAGCAGTGCATGTTCCTGTTCCATCTCTGCACCCTGGAAATTTCTCTTTCTGCCAGTCGCCAAGTAGACATATGTCTTTCTAACCACTCACCACACAATCTAATTCTCTACTCTGATTCAACCACTCAACACCACTATCCACTCAACACCACTATCCACTCAACACCACAGTTCACTCAACAACACAGTTCACTCAACAACACAGTTCACTCAACAACACAGTTCACTCAACAACACAGTTCAAGGTGGTTCCTAACTTCCTATCATACAAGAGATATCCACAAACTCAAACTCCGCCGAAAACCTAGCACGAGAAAAACGAGCAACCATACCACAGCAGCTAGAAACCTTACTATTGACCTATCTCCGACTGAGTCAACCTCAACCACCCCAAAGAGCTGCCTATTTAAGTCTCCCCAGTTCCGCCGCCCAACATGCAGCTTTCCTTTCCTGACCATCATTTTCGTCCCTGAGCGCTGCTTACTTCGTGAGCATCACTTTAGCTCTCGCGCACCACTCTTCTCAAGTCACACTCTTCTCTGCGCGCGTCACTCTTTGCAAGAGGTACCTTTGTGGGCGTTCCTTCCCTCTAAGTACCATTCCTCGATTCAACTACTGCTTTTTTCAAGCACCACTTCTCTTCTCGGGCACCACCTTTCTCGAGCACCACCTCTCTTCTCGAGTGTCACTTTTCTTCTCAAACACCACTGTTCTTCTCGGCCACCACTACTCTTTTCGGCCATCACTACTCTTCTCGAACACCACTTTTCTCGATTAAAACTATTCTTCTCCGATACCATGTACTCGAACATCATTACACTTCGTGAGTAGCACCTTTCTCGATAAACACTGCTCTTCTCGGCCATCACTACTCTTCTCGAACATCATCACACTTCTCGAGCAGCATCTTCTTTCTGAAGCATTGCTCTTCCTAGCAAGCACCCTTGCTAAAGCACCACCCTCACTCAAACTTCGCTCTCTGGCTGTACATCACTCTACTTCTCGGTCGCCACATTCACACGAGTACCACCTATATTTCAGCAGCGATCTTCTACTCAAGCATTACAACTTATACCACTTATACTGGGTAAAGCTCTGGCTACCTGCAATAGTTGGTATCTACGTTAAGAACTAGGGCACACGTGAACCTGAAGGCTATTTGGCCCTTTTGCAACACCTGCAGTCACAACCACAACTTGCCATCTACCACAACAGCAAATCATCACGGATTGTGAACCTAGTTTCCGATACGTCAAGAAAACGCACTTCATCTGCAAAAACATATAATCTGTACATCACGAACACACTTCACCATTGAAGCTCACCTCATCCGCAGCCATGGACTCTCGTCTGTCTATAGCTGCGACTTTCTCTTCCCACTTCTCACGTCCGCACTGAACAAGAACATGCATATACATCTATAATCACCTATAATCAACAGGCACATGCTCTTTCGTCTCGACATATGGAATTCTCTCTCTTGCGCATAACATTACCACCCGCAAGACCTGGCCTTCTCTCTTCGGCTCGTCTCATGCGGCCTCATATAGCGTCTTTGTGGCATTTGTAGCAACCCCCACATAATTAACAACTGTGCCAAGAAAACTTCAGCATGGGTATGTATGTCATCCTCGTTCAATTCACCTCTATCTTCACCACAGCTCAGCGCCCTCTGTTGTGGTCCCACCTAGCTAACCACTAAGTGTAGGTCATGGTCATGCCTAAGACTCTGTCCCCCTAGGGCGTAAAGAAGAATTTCGAAGAGAGATGGGTCGATCCGAAAAGCCCGAGGGGTGTTGGCACGCGCCTAACTTCTACGACAAAGAACCTAACCCCCGACAAAATCTGGGACCTCCCGACAGATCGCACCACCATGTGGTACAGTAACTGCCGCACAGTCCACGACCCGGCATTCTGCATTGGGCCTCTTGTAGGCGGCGTGCTAAAACGCCACTGCCTCATTTGCGGCGACAGCCATGTAATTGAGGACTGTGCGTATAAGACCCCAACATGGGTATGTATACCATCCCCGTTCAATTCACCTCCATCCTTACCAACTCATCCTCGCCTACATATACTTCGGCAAGCCTAGAAATACTAACTCTTACAGGTGTATTACGTTCTCCTATACTGTCGACAAGGCAGGTGTATGGTGACTATAAGGATCGACTTGTCGCATGTCCCCCTACATCCCGTCTTCGAGACAGTGGCGTCACAGGGCAAAGGCTTTGCAACGGAGAACTATCAACAAGCCCTGAAGAGAGCCATACGACGAAACGAGAAGTTCGATTGGAAGAGCCAAAAGGATGCCACCCCTCAACTTCTGATCAACCAGGCGGTTTCCGGGCTGTTGCCGACTGACCCAACTCGCAAGAAGTATGGCCCGGAGGCCACCGCGGGGGGCAAGGACAACCGCTATCACATCGAGTATGTGAATGAGCGCCAAGAGACCGTACGACGGGTGATGGGCGAAGACTTCCTTTTCGAGGTTCAGCCGCCCAAGATCCGGCTGCCGGCGAGGACCCTCTACTTCCCTGATCCCTTTTCTGGGCGGCCACCAGGGATCTGAAGATACACTCGCCCGAGCCGAGTTCCGCGAGTTCGCCATTGTGACCACCAAGGAACTGCTCGACATCTCTCAAGAAACTGGCCATCTTCCCCACATCCGCCTCGGACAGAATCACACAATACCCCGGCATTACCAAACCATGCTACCACCAAGTCTGGAACCAATGCAACCACTGTAACGTTCTTAACCCTCGTACAATATATATCGTATCTTCCAGGTCATGTCACCCGCGGCCACATTATCGGTTATCAGAACGAACCCAAGAGGACGCAAGTCTTCGAGAAGACCATTCGTTCAGAGAATGCTCCATAGTGAAGGGACGTCTGGCAGCCCCGAATCGATGAACCGACCCAGCTATAGCACGGTCGAAGACGAGCGGGATCACTTATCAGACACCGAAACCGATAATTCGTCTGACAGCGATGAGTCAGGTTATAACAATGTCCCGGACAACGCCGAAGAATTAGATGGGAGCCAGGGCTTAGATAAAGACGAGGGCGTACTTCACAGTGAGCACTCGCAGGCCCTGGATGAGGGAGCGAGTGTAGAGATGTCGCTCCTACCTATCGTAACGGAGCTTTGAGTGGAAGACCACGACGGCAAGTGGGTGTTGCAGATAAAACCGAACCCTAAGCTATCGGGAAGTTCCTGTAAACATAAGACATAAGATCTCGAAAAACGTCGATAGAAAGGGTTACTATCTGATAACATTAATGTTGAAGAGACAACGAGTCTTTATAAGGAATAAAAGACTTAGTCAGAAAGGATTTTAACCATGCCACCACGTGAACTCGATGTTGAAATTCAGCATGGAGTTAAGTAAACATGAACCAGATGGGGTGCGCAGGTGCTAAGACCTCGCAGTTCGTAGCTCGAGAAATGGAAGTCTGTTCTAGTAAGGGATTGGACTAGGCAACTCCTTTGACAACAGCGGGATAATTGCCGAGATAATGACACCATTGCCCGCGGCCACGACGTTGTCGACAACAACTCGTAGACGCTCGCCAACCAACTGTGCGATCATAGAGATAACTAAAATCCTTAAGCCAAACGCAGAAATGGTTCCCTTGCTCCAAGAAGTCTAGGAAGCTGTCCCGTAACTAGTGCCATGGCCTCGACAAGGTCATCTTCCAAGAAACCTTCTGCCGCATAATCGAAGCGACCGCCAACTACAACGCACGCCCCCAGCTGTCACGTAGCAAAATGTATGGTCGATTCTCCTCTGTATTGATCTTGGTTCTTCGGAGGATACCGCGGTGCATGATTCTCCTCCTAGATATCCCTGTGTTGTGGGTCACTCCTTATCCCGTTATCACACGTGATACCCCTTGGCACCTACTGCCGTTCAACACCAGCGGCCCTTCAATCGTGTGGTGATGGTCTGTCTGGGATAGCAGTTTTCGGTACGAAAGGAGGGCTCACCGATGTCCTGGCTAAGATGTTGCACATAGCACGGTTGTGAAGGCACTCCGGGCCAGCAAGACGTTTGCCACGACAGGGGAGGGTCTGGAGGGCATTGCCTATACCAGATGCCGAGCTTCCGACACTTGTTGAAAGCGTGGTACCGCTACCTCTACGGGGCCCTCTTAAAGGTCGATAAGGCCTTCACCATGTCGCGTCCTCTTACCAACGACTCCGCCAAGATCCAGGGAGCAGACCTGAACTTTTACCTAGGTGGGACGGAAGAACTAAGCAAAGGCACATCCGGTCTGGACCGGGGAAGAATGGTGGTCACTCAATCGAGCATGGGCCTTGTTTCAGCCAGGACATAATTACAAAACGTGTGTCGCTGACCCCTTGTACATCATCTCCAGTGATGAGAGCAAAGGTGATGAAGAGACACATCAGGAGCCGAAGCCTTCCCTCCAAACGTGCTGTCCTCTTCTTGCTCGTCGACGTTCTGTTGGTCGGCGTTCGATTGGTCAGATTCCTCTTGCATAGAGTCCCAGCTATCGGCAAGAGAGAGACCAGAGTCATAGTGGAAGAAGTCATTCCATTCGGACCTACCAAGGCGCAGCCTGACAACCAGCCCTCATAGCAATACTGTATCTTGCCCTTTGTTCCTGCCTCGACTCAAACCGTGCGTGTATCTCTGCCCACTGGCCGGATTGCATGCCTACCAGTACTCGCACACCGTCTATACGCCGAGTCCTTCGCTCATCGCCTCTTTCCAACTGAACGCGTCGTGGCTCAATTCAACTCTTCAGGGCCAACTTGCGAAGCGTTCGACCATCAGTGAGACCACCGTTCCTGCGGTATCATGGGGAGGAGAAATCGGCCAGAGATAGGTCTTGACCCCTACCCACACATCGATGCAACTACATATGCCTGGGACGCCGTCTGAGCAGCATACCTTATCATACCACTACGACATACGGACTGCCACCCCCCCAACTCCATCCATTACTCCTTTCTCCATCTCTTAGTGGCCCGTCGACTACAATATAAGGCTTGTAGCACTCGTTATGGTGACAATAACCTGCCGGCACTTGCTAACAGCGCGAATCGGAACGTTAAAGCAGCTATGCTGCATGTTTCTGCCTGGATTCCATCGCCTCACGAATATATACGCTGCTAAGATGGCAAGAAATTATAGGACGTCTATGTTAGTAATAGTGGTAGAAACACTTATACCGGGTGCACATACCACGGCCAAGAGGCCGCCATAACCAGCAGATGCGATATCTGCTATGGAAGTTTCTACGAAAGGCTAATGTAAACACCGGGAAACTCCTTTTCTAGCATATGGCCGCAAACTAGCTGGACACGAGACAAGCTCTTCTTAACCCTCGGAAAGCATCGGTTCTAGCCATCCTTCGCCTTAGCCTGGACACCAGAAAGGCAACGCTCCCAGCCAGTATGTATCCCAGCCCTGAAATCAGAGAGGCTCTTTTGTACACTCCGCAAGTAAGACTCAGAACCAAGCTGCACCTGCCTCTCCCTCACCTATCCCACCGGACGCAAAGGCGAAGCCACGGATGTCAGCCCTAGGACAATCGACTGGGGGGTATGCTATGGAGCGTAGCCCACGGGAAACTCATTGCGAACATGGCCCGGGGGACGACGAACTCGGCTTAATTAATCCGTCAAATATCCAGTCGGTCACATAATGCCTGGAAGCTCTCAAACCAGTGTATATGCATCATCCCCCCTGCGATGGGTTCCTTCCGGAGACCGACGACAAGGAGTTTGAAAAGATCAGGCGCACCGTGCTCTCTGTCATGGGTCCTGAGATCGACGCTCACCGCTGCTCATACATTCGCGTGGTCTTGGGGTCAAAGGATGATGACAGAGATGTTTGGTGATGAATGAAAAGAGAGCTATACTCGTCCCACAACTGTCTCAGCCTGCCCTGCTACATCGAGAAGGGTATGGTTGTGTAGTTTATCGCAACCGTTCTGCATCGAAATCCAAGACCTACTATGTTATTACCATGCGACACTGAATCAACATCCACTGCCACAAGACAGCTGCTAATCTGTACCGAACAGTCCCATCTGGCAACAACTACACACTCCTACAACACACACCTACAACACACACCCCAACGACCATGAATCGAATGGCTTTCGCCCGCCGAGGCAACTCCCTCGGCGGAAACCAAACTCCCAAGATACTCAAAACAAGCGCACCCCCAAACCCCCCCGGCTGGGTCGACCCCTGCAAACAGTAGCTAGGTCAGTCCTCACGCTCAAAGACTCATTCACAGCAACGCTGCACCATAGCCGGTGGACGCAACACTGGCGTGATCAGCAACTTCGAGAACAGGCGTACGAGACGCTCAAGAACATACGAGGTCGATGCGAAGCTGACCAGAAAACAATCTATCCATTACACCCGGCCGTCCAGTCTCCGTAGTTGAGCTCAAAGAACATGGTTCGCAGAGCGAATGGCACTTTCGACCGCACAAGTTTCAGAAGAACCCAGGGGACCTCGTAACCCAAAAGAACCTGGAAGAAGTCTTCGAACATCGGTATCAGGTGTTGAACAACTCCCAGCGGGGCACAAGTGATTGTGCCAGCATTTCTGCTGTTACCATATTTGACATCAGGCGCTTTCTTCTGGCGGTCACCGGAGAGACTTTCGCGCTACAGAGACTATGACCGCGACGTTTATTACGAAACATATTGAGGTTTCTTGGGCCCTATTACACCAGGTTGGGGCGAACATTCCTCTTCTGGGGTCGCTCCCTCCATTGGCTGCCCGACGCTTGGTTTAAAGCCGCTTCGAGTTTGACTCTTCCTATTCAAGTGCCTCCTATGGGCTTCGCTTTTTCAGATAGCTGCTTGGCACTCTGCTCAGAGGCTGTTACTCCAATAAGTAGGTCGCCTTCCCCGCGGGCTGCCTAGCCATTCATCTCACCAGTGTCCTAGTCCCTCTTCAGTTAAGCTCTTGCTGCCTAGATATCCTCTTCTAGGGTCGCTCCCTCCGGAAACTACCATGCATTTTACTTGGGGGCTACGACTCCGATTCATAGGCCGTCTTTCCTGCGGGCTGTCAATCAGCTCATATTCACCGGTGCCATGCTCTTTGATTCGCCATGTTCGTTCCTCGACAACCACTTCCAACAACAACATCTACAGCGAGACACAGATCACACTCTTACCAAAAACAACTATTTTTCTTGGCGCCCCGCTGTTAGGGCGCAACCTCTATATCTGCACTAAAACAGGCATTTATTTCAGTACCTGACTATCCTTGCCAAGGCGCAGAAAATTTTTCTCACAAGCTGGATGGCACCCCTTCACGATAGGCCCCCAAATACGCCAGTGGCCGTCCCAAAGACGACTACTGGCGGCGTGCTCAAATCCCCGGTCCCTAAAAGAACATATGGCCCGGCAACCCCAAGCAAGCTCCGCCAGGCACTGCTCGACGACATCAACAGCAGCCCGTCACAGGTCTCTGAGGCTGACTTCACCATTGTTTCCCCTCTGAAAGGAAAATCCCGAAATATTAATACTAGCAGCATCATTGATATGGAAGTACCTCAATCAAACGAAATCTCTACAGACCAAGCCATTGGAGGCGATACAGGGAACAAGGTCTCTTCCTCAAAGTGCCAGAACCAAGTAGCCAAAATACTGGCTAAAGACAAGCATCTCTATGAAGCCAGGATGACAATGTTTCAAGAATGTGCTACAGCAGTCGATAAGACACTGGAAAAAGCTGGAACCGAACTATACTCTCATGCCAAGGAGTTCAGCGCTTTCTTCTCCAAATGCCTGAACGAGTGGCTGGAAACCCGAGATCTGCCCAAAAGAAAGACCACTCCTGGCGGGATAGGGATAGGGAAGCCCACCATGACCTTCGCCCAAGCTGTCTCCTCTGGCCAACGACAGCATCCATGGACAGTCAACACTACCATAAAGAAAACACAGCCTGGCGCCCTTATCACTGCCAATCAACTGAAGAAGAAGCAGGATGATCTCCGGGTCTTTGTCCGCATGGATAATAGCCACTTAGAGCCTTATGGAATCAAGTCTACACTGAACAGAAGACTTAAGCTCCACCCTCAGGAGCTTAGAGAAGTGACACAGTGTCCTTCTGGTTTTACCTTATACCCAAGGGACAAGCCAACTCAGG